AAACTCAAATGTGGCAACTATAGCGTGAGCTAATTCGTGGGCAATAGTGTCTACCACCGATTCAAAACAGATATCCATATAAGTTATCTCTCCTTTTTCATTCAGTTTGGTTATAAATTCCTCGTGGCCCAAACGGTTTAAAAACATTTCCTTTTTCAATCTAATTCTTATGGGCTTTATATCATCAACTTTTCCATAGGTTAAAAATGAAGTGCCATCTTTTCAACCATTGGTTTTATAATCTCTACCTTCATTATCATCTCCAACAAAATAATAGTAAGTTATACCAAGAGTCGTTTTCCCTTCCTCTTTCTGTGTTTCTTTTTCATCCTTATTTCTAATGAAGCCTTTATAACCTTTAAAATTGACTTGGAGAGGTTGTTGGAGCCGAGCCACCATTTCTTTTCAATCTGCTCTATTTTTTTTATTATTCACGTCCAGAAAATAATTAAAATCCTCCTCAGGGGGGATGCCGCCTGTTTCTATCTCCCGACCTTCAATTCCGTAGGGAAAAAATTTTCTAGGCAACTTTCCTTCATGTTTATGCTTCGGCATTATTTCTTCTTTGGCTTGATAATACCATTTATCTATTCAAGGTTTCAATTGCGCTGTGATTGCTTTTTCCTCGGTTTTGGAAATGTCCCAAATGGCTTGAAATTTTTGCTGTCTTTTCAATTCCTCCGTGCTCCGTCTAATGGATGATGCTTTAGTTTTTGCCCGAACCAAGGCTTTTCCTTGCTCGTAAAAATGTTGGTAAAATTCAGAAATAAAAGTAGGGCTGGTTTTTGCTAATTCTGATAAATTTTTTCCTTGTAGCACTTCATCCATTTTCATATCAACACTTTCCAACTCCTTGCGAACTTCGGCCTTTTCCGCCTCGGTCAATTTTTTGCCCCTCATTTTGTCGTTTAAAAATCTCTTTGTCGTCTTTAAGCGACTGCGATTGCCAAGCATTAATTGTTTGAGACCGTCTGCGGTGGGAGTGTCGGTTCATTTTCCCAACTCGCCTTCATAATTGTAATTTCACTTAGGCTTTTTGTGATCTTGTCATCACCAATACCCTAATGCACCAATTAGTAGAGCCACCAGTAAAATTAAAAGGATATAAATTAATGTATCGTCGCTTTGTTGGCTATTTTTTTGAGAACTCGGACCAGTGCTTTTCATATAAATTATTTAAGTAGTTTTTGACCTCAGAGCGGCTTATTCTTATCTGTTCCATGCTGTCGCGGTGGCGGCAAGTAAGAGTATTATAGTGGGATGAATTAGGGTCCACGGTGTCAAAATCCACCGTCAGACAGTAAATAGTGCCAATGGCATCTTGGCGGCGATAGGCTTTGCCAATATTAGGGGCCTCCTCGTAGGTTAAGGAAAAATTAACTTCGGGCAGTAAATCAAGGTATAATTGATAGGCCGTGTTTCTTAATTGTTGGCTTAACGGAATAATCGCTACAAAAAACGGAGCCAGGAGAGGTGGCAACCGTAAAACTGTGCGTTCTGTTTGAGAACCAGCCACTTTTTCCTCGTGGTAAGCATCCTGTAATATGGCAAGCATTAATCTTTCTACTCCAAAAGAAATTTCAATTACTTCCGGAATAATCCCGTTAACTCGCAAATCTTTTTGGGAATGTTGGCTGTGTTGGGATAAATCATAATTTCCCCGATGGCTATTGCTACATAATTCCCCCCACCCAAAATGATAATTGAAATAGAGGTCCTGGGTTCTTTTGGCGTAATGAGGCAATTCCTCTTT